TCTGACTGACAATTTTGGAAAATTTACTCATTTGCAATATTAGGTATACATACTTAGTAGTTAGTATAATATTTTATATTAGTCCGAGTCTCGATACTTGACGGAATCCAGATTTGTAAATTGTAAGACATTAATATTTGTAAGATCGAATTCATTACTATAATACCATTGATTATAAATACTATAGACCGCTCACTCTCCCGTATTAACGAAATATTGACCAAAAATGAATGTGGTCGTTATGGAGCGCTGTCGTCGCCCATTAGTTTCCATTAGTTTTATTACCCTATGGTTTCTTATGGACGACGACAGGCGACAGCGCTCCATTACGGCCATATTTAGTTTTCGTCAATATTTCGTGTCGCGTCGGGTCACTGGGCGATCTATACCTATAGTATTTATATTTTATAATCATTGTGTCAAAATGTATTTACTAATGAAATAATTTGATTTGTAACCGTAAAAAACGTCAATAGATTAATTTTATTTAATTATTGTCATTTTCCAATCTACATTCGCCAACGACCATACCACGTTGAATACACCAGTTCTCGTCCGAACACTGAAGTTAAGCAACGTCGGGCGTAGTTAGTACTTGGATGGGTGACCGCTTGGGAACACTACGTGCCGTTGGCAATTTTTTGATTTTTTACATTATTTATTTATCCATCAATAGAATTATTAAATTGAATAAGTACGATGAAGTTAGAACGATAAGATAAAATTTTGTAATTTTTTGATGATATTCGGAAAAATATTACCATATTTTCATAAAAATCAGGAGATTATTGACTGTTCTGGTGAAAATTCCAAAGGTCTGCGGTTATTAGTTTATGAGTTAAACCAAAAAAATAAAATCGGTTTTTACAAAAATTGGTTTTGCATCTAAATTAAAACTTTTTTTTTTCTTGACACTTTCTAAAATTACTTGGAATTTTCAATTTCCATATAAATATAATATTATATGCATTACAGTGACTTACTGACTTACTCCATAAGGATTAAGGAGTACACTCAACATATCTGAATTGATGTTTCTAGTTTTTTAATTATTTCAAGTAAAAACGACAAGTGAGTTGATATAAATGTTAATTCATTCACAACCGATCTACCTTTAATAATATCAAATACTTTTTTAACGCATTGTTCTTTGTCTTCTGTAAGATTTTCAATTACCTTTTGGTATTTTATAAAATATTCTTTGTAATGTAAAGCAGCGACTATCCACGTCTGTCCCCCACCTTGTTATTACCGGGACGGGAAGTAAAGGTATATTTTCCATTACAACTCTGAAAATAGAAATTCTGCTCGGTGATTTTAAAAATATTTTTTACCATTATTGATTAAAATATTAATATTTGGAAATAATTCAAGAAGTTTTTCAGCAATTAGATTAAAATAGGAATAGCATGTGCAATACAAGCCATATATATATATATGTGTGACGTGTGTGTACCATTTTAAATTTTCAAGCTTTTTTAACCATCAAATAAAATTTTATTCATACATTTAGAAAAAAAAAAGAAAATGAAAATGTCCCTAAACAATTCAAAATAAATCAAAATATTTTGAAAATGTTATCGTGTATAGAAAATGCAAATATAAACACCCAGTGAAAATGTCATGTATCTACGGTCATTTTTTTTAAAGTTACACCAAAATCCAAATTCGATTTTGCCTAAAAATTCCCGTTTTTCCTTAATTTTTCTTTTGTTTTTCAAGGCGCTTTTGAAAACTAATGAGAAATTTTTACTTTTGACCCCCCAAAATACTAACTCGATTCACTTTCCTACTGATACTGTTGAAGAAAATCCAAGCACTTTTACTGTCCTAAAAAGTGATGACAGGACCAAAATTAAAAAAAAAATTCACACATCATTGTAAAATCAATATATATTTATTGTTCCACTCAGAATCTAATAGGTGGTCAAGAGGTTGTCGCTCTGCTGTACAGTAGGTTACAAGTGGGTCACTGTAATGGACGGATTAAATTTGAATTCAATGACATTGTATACGAAAAACGATTCTGAGCGAAGATTGTCAGTCAGCCTATGATATTACATATTCGATATTATTATTGTGAATAAAGTACCTAATTTAGTAACTTATATTTACGTGGAACCTTCTTTTAAATTTTCAATCTTTAGTTATAAATATAGAACATGTTATATATATTTAACTTTTTTTTTTGTATAGGAAACAAGAATATATACAATCTGTAATAATTTATACAATAGGTAATATGGAGGGGGGGTACAAGTATATAAGACAGGACGGCATGAAAGAAGAATATAAAAAAAAGGGGGGGTTCCACAGACTGTTTTTTTGGAATGATTTATAATAAATTTATAATAGTGGGTGACAAATGTATGAATGGTTGGGATTTTGAGGTCAGAGTGGACTGGATCGAGATTGCTGTTGTACTAGCTGACTTTTGTAATGAGGCGAAGGCAAATTGACTGAAATTATATTTTTAACTGCAAAATAATTTTTAAAATTTAAAATTTGATCAATTTTGTTAAAATTCGAACTTAAAATGATTATAAAAAAAATTGTGCACACTATGTATTTTTAATATTTTTCAACTGATACTATTGTCTATTATTATTACTTATATTGTTATGTCGACAAATTGATTATTATCATTTTTTTATGTTCTTACTCAAAATAATTTGCACATTTTCTAGATTTTAAATGCTTATAATATTGGCCTCTCTAATCCCTTATTGTCTTGGCTCACTTCCTTTAATTCTGAAATATGTTTCTCTGTATTCGGTTGCATAGGTACCAAAAATTTAGAGTGTTTTAAAATGATGGGACAAAATATTATCTTATATTATGTATGCAGACTTATGATATGAAACAAATTTTCAGCTTGAAGCATGAGAACTCCTCGATTTCACCTTCAACATTTAATATTTTAATATATGATTAAAATATTTGTACCAATTAGGATAAAAAATAGGGTTTATTGTCTTCTTGACAATCTAAAAATTTTAAATCAATTAAACAACATAAAAAATTGGTTAGTGTATTGCTTACAAATACAAATAATTTACGGTATCATTAAGTAATTATAGCAAAAACCAAAGGTTAAAAATAAGCTCGTTGTTTTTTGTACAAAGTTATTTTCACAATTTTGAATTAGCAACTAATTTTAACTTAATATAATAGAATTAAATGTGGTTGTACAGAAATATATTTTTAATATAATAAATTATGGTACCTGTGAACGTTTTGAAAATATCCAAATTATGTAATGTACCTAATTAAATACATAGTTTGTTTCACCAAGTACAATTATTTCAAACAAATTCAACTTAAAATCACAAGACAGAGTAACATAATTTTAATAGGTAGTGTTATTTTAATAAAGGTACATATACTGCAATGTAAAATATTATCACTATATTTCAGAAACTTAATTCATATTGTATATTGTATTTATAATAAACATTTTAATTTATCTATATAACAAAATAGGATTACCTAAGTTAGTATTGTGTTAGTGGAAAAATACAAATATTCAAACAGTTTTTATAATTTTAGAAAATGTAAACCGTATAAACCACAAAACATACAATTGTGTTTTAAAATAAAATGAATTATTAGGTACTGAAAAATTAATTTATTAACAATGTTGTTGATTTCAAAACATAAAATTGAATACACTTGACACATAATATGTACAGACTACAATAGCTTTCCAAAACATAAGAAAATACAGTATAAAAAAAATGATGTTTGTAACATATTAATAAAATATATAAAGAAAAAACAAAGTAAAGCGGAATTACAAGTAGCAGAATAAAAAAAAAAATAATAAAAACATTACACACTAATTATTAAAGACAACATTTGACAACAATATGTACTCAACAGAAATGAGATCCCTTAAATAAATCAAAAATTAAATTAAAACAATGAACATTATGCGCGGATTAAAAAAATAACATCGAAAAATTTCTTTTTATTTATTGGTATTGTTTTCAGGTTGAATAATAATTTCTTCAATTGGTAATTTTTAAAAAATATATATATTATATAATTATAGTGAATAGCAGTATGGTGTTAATATACAACTATAATAATTTATAATATTGGACGGATTCAGCCAATAGAAAACACTGAATATTTTGTATTTTTAAAAGTATAAAACACAGCCATGTTTTATAATAATTGCTTACAGTAAGGTAAAAAAAAATGAAAAATAAAAATGCATACAAGAATAATCCTAAAGCGATGTAGATTCTGGTAAATATAATGATCTTAATGATTCATAAACAATTATTCTGTTTGACACACGTATGTACAACATTAAAAAAAAAAATGTAGGTACCTACAGGTGATATAAATGTGATCTTAGCTGTTTTAGCACGTCAGCCGTTGCAACAAAGCAGTGTTTATTAATGTTATTCTATTTAATTATTATTCATGTTAATACCTTTTCAGAAAAGGCGAGAAGTAAAAAAAAAAAGACACCGATCCAAAAGAATATTTTATACACATACGTTATCCACAAAACTGGATTTATATATTATTATATTATGAAATGATGATGTTAAAGTAGGAAGAGCTACCTAATAATAAAATTACTATTATGTACACAGAATGTATCGCATGGGTTTGGAAATTGTTGATACATATACGGTTCTAAAAGACTTTTAAAAGTTATGTATGGAACGGAAATTGAATGTGTTCAAAAAGCTCAAAGGTACAGCGGTGTGTTAGTAAGTTCTACAAAAGTATTATGATCGGACGAAAAAATATCGAAAATGTTATAAAAAATATACGTTCGAAAAAAATTAACAAATTATTCATAAAAAAAATACTACATTGACAACAGTTTGACAAGACTTAAAAATAATAAAAAAAAATTAATAATAATAATTATGTGTCGTCAGACGCGCAATAACGGGATTCGCCACTTGTTCAGTGTAACGTGTGCAGTGGCTGTTTTTTCAGCGGAGCAAGGCAAATTAGCGTCCTCTCTCTGCCGTTTAGATGTCTATTGTTTGCAAGAGCATATGCAACTGTCTAAACACGTTTCCCAAGTTACCCTGGACTGTTTGCCTCTTCAGCACAAACGATCTGATGTCCATGAGTATGTTTTGACACTTACGACATTTGTTATATCTGTAAGCAATGAACGGTTGTTGTTATTTGATAGTGTGTGGTATTTTTTGGGGGGTCTTCATGGAATTTAATTTTTGGAGGGGCTTTGGTTTATAAAAAGGTTATAAACATTATAATTTACAAAATTAAAATATGAATTAATTCTACTAATAATACCTTTTTAATTAACTTTGTTTTTAAGAATTCTAAAGATATCTACAGATAACACTAGATGTTTATTAACTAAAAAATACATTTGTAAATTGTATGAAAGCTATTTTAAAAGACTAATTTCTGTAAGTCTTATAAATTCTGCATTCCTGCCCTCAACATGAACTATTTTAAAACAACTGTATGAGTTATGATAAGCGATATCTTATATTTAGTGGCAAATTGCAATACAAAGGTAAATATTTTAATTTCTTAATATTTTTTAAGAATATTGCGAAAAAAAAAAAAAGAACAATTAAATAGTAAAATTAAATCGTAAATATAATGAAAGCTCTACTGGACTATTACATAAAAAAAAGTGCATATTGTAAATATACGCACAGGATCAAAAGAATAAATTCTAAGATAAGTTAATATCACGCAAACTAACTTTTGAAAAAAAAAATTCTACTGACCTTTCTTCTTGCATTATATCAACACCTATTGCAGAAGGCGGTCTTTGTATATTATTCTTAATGACTGGCATAAAATACTGCAGTATATCTCTTATGGCTTTGAAACTTACATTTATGAATCTGAAAAATTTAATTGAATTAAAACTTAAAATTTACAACAACAAAAAACATTAGAACCTGAACAGCCATAAGTTGGTTGTGGGTATCATACATAAACTAAATGTATTAACATCTTAGGTTTAATCTTTTTCAGTTATATGTTTTTAATGCATAATATAACCAATAAAAACCCATTAATTGTCATTTTAATTAAATGTTTCCTCAACAATTATCAAAAAAAAATCAAACCTATATCCCATTGGGAAGACATTGGAACATATTCTTCTTTAGTCTTTTGACTATAAGGTATTCAAAAATGAATATTTTTACTCATGCATTCATCATAGAAATGAATGGGGTCATCTGATAAAAAGGTGTAATAGTAAAAAATTTCTTAAGACTTTCAGATAAACCCCCCCCCCCCCCCAACCAAAATAAATGTTTACTTATGTCCAAACTGATTCATTTGAATCCAGTCCTGCTTTCAGGGAAATTAAATTAACAACAACTCTTTCTGGGAAAATCTATCTCAGTAGATTTAATATATACTGATTTTAAAAAGGGTTTTGACTCAGTGAATCACAAGATTCATTCAGATATTAGAGCATTTAGTTTCAGCAAGCCTCTTTTAACCTAGCTTTTATAGTAATAGCATTGGATTGGATTAAAAATCTTGGATGTTTAAGAAAGATAATTCATCTATCCTCTTAAATAAAATAAACTATTTCTTCCTAGCACCTCTAACTACTTAGCAAATGAATCACTTCAAATGTTAATGTCTCTTGCCAATGTGGACGCATCCCACCTTTATCAATGTTGATCGACTCATTGTACTTAATTCTATATATTGAACCTTAGTTAATTTATAAAATATTGTATGTATTTTCAATGAGTACAGCTTATAAAATAAATCAATAAATAATAAAATAAAACGCAGATAACAAATGATGGGTTATAATGTTGACATATTTTTAATTCTTCAGCTCTTTAGTAAATAAACTTGTATGGTCATATTATGAATATACAAATGTATTACTGTATCCGTTTCAAAATATAAGCCTTAATTAATCACTTACGCCTCATTCCCACTTTGAATCAAATCAGATATCGAAGGAAGTAACATACTGCAAACATCTAGGCACCACAGATTTCTGAAATAAACATTAAGTACATTTTTAAACAATACTATATAGTATATACATTTAAACATAGTGGTGTACACACAGATGTGTATGCGAGGGGGGAGGGGTATTCGAACCCTCTATTAGTTTTTTTAGATTTATTTCAAATTACATTTTAATTTAATAATGGCAATTAATATGTATTTGTGTTGTGTTAAAATGACAACAGACAAACTTCTAGGTATCACACTATACTCTCACTGTCTTTAAACAATAGTATGTACCAACCGTCACCGTGTCAGTTTTGCATTATGCGGGATTTACTGAAAATATGATATCTGAAATTATATTCTGTTTAAACAATGCATTTTATAATTACAGATAAAGTGTACTAATGGTACTATATTATAATATTGAGCATAAATTGGTCTGCCCATGTATACTTATAGATCTATATACAATAATTATTAAGATACTTGATTTATACAGTTATTATTTGGTGTTCGGTTTGTTCAGAATAATAATAAGTTAATATATGATTATTTACTATATTTAAAGTATTTATTTTCCAAGTTTATTTAAATTATTAAAATGAAATAATTAACAAATGATTTAAAGATAAAAAATGCAAAATGGTAGCATTAAACAAAATATGAATTAAATTCATACGCCATAGTAGTACCAGATGCAAAGTCAATGAGGAGTAATGCACAGTAAAAATATTTTGATATGTACTGAATGATTGTTATGCTTATATTTTTTAAATTGATTTAATAGTCAATCCACTAGAAGCCAGATTCTTAAAGACCACTGTGATATTAAGGTTCCGAGTAGTTTTAATTTGGTTCTTACAATTAATTTTTAATTCTACCAATAACTTAATGTTTGTTTTAAACTTTAAATAAACTCTGTTTTAATGTTTTTTAATTTAATCAAATAAAAGTTGCCACACACACATTATGGAAAATGTCTGTGAACACCACTGTTTAAATATAATACTAAAATGTAATATTTATCATTTACGGGCGTTGTGTAATAATAGAAATGAGATCTGATATGACAGCATCATCATTCATGGAAACGGCAGAATTTACAGCACACTAAAAAAATAGTTAAGTTAATTAGTAGGGTAGGTTGAGTATACATAAGTATATAATATAATTTGTATTATGTAAGTACTTATTACAAACCTTAAAATTTTTATTAGTCCATAATGTCTGTATAATATTAAGATAACGTTGTCTTTCTTTGAGCACACCCATAGTGGACTTATGATTTTTTGAAAGAATTTCCACAATGTCTTCTTCATCATACATGATATTATTTAAACTCTAAAAATAAATCAGGTTCAGCATACTTTTTTTTTGTAAATTAAATATCACTATAATTTACAAAATTATGGTTGAAACTATATTAATACTATAGATTATTTTAGATTCTGAGAGGAGCGATGATAAAATGTATTGTTTTTACAATGATGTGATGTTTTTTTTGTCCCTTAACATTTTTATTGGTAAAAATAATGCTTTGTTTTTAACTTCAGCAGCTTTTTTCTCATAGGAAAATAAAGATGGTATTTCAATTTCTAAACATTGGGAAAAGCAAAAAAAATGGAGATGATTGCCCTAAACCAGATTTTGACAATATCGATTTAGTTTTTTGATGCAAATAAAAAACTAATAATTGTAGATAATTAAAATTTTCACTTGAAATTTGTAAAAGCATTTTCTATAAATATATTTTTTATAAAAACTTAAAAATATTTTGACTATTTTTGAGGTATTTATAGACATGAGAAAAATTTCTGATTTTTAGTAGTTTTTTTAAAATTATTGTCAGACAATAAACATTAAAAAGTATGTTAAAAAAAATTAAAAAAAGATGAGTGTAAATCCACAATAATTTTTATAAGCATCTGAAGTAAAATATTAACAAAATTTGTCAAAATCACAGGAAATTGCGAAATATTTTGAGTTGAAAATTTAATATTTATAGAAATGTTTCTATTTATACCTAAGATTTGAAAATTAATACAAGATTCCTCATTAGTTGTTTTACCTTTAACAAAATAAAAAAACTTGGATGTCATACTAATTTTTTATAATCATTTGAAGTTTAAAATTTAACAAAATTCATCAAAATCTCGAAAATGTAGAAATTATTTTGAAGTTACAAATTTGTAAAATGTTCAGTTTATATTTCTAAGGATTAAAAATTTAAAATAAGATATCACATAAGTTCATATTGTCGCCAAAAAATTTAAAAAAATATACAAACAGTTTTTTTTTTTATGCTATTTTATGTTTAAATTTGGACAATATTATAAACTAGAATTAATAGTGGTTTTAGTTATTTTGTTGTAGTTTAAATATGTTATTATAATATAGGCTGATTGACAGAACGTCTCTTCTCATAATCGCTTTACGTATATAATGGTATTATATCATTGAATTTAAATTGAACACCATCCATTACAGTAACCCACACAACACCTAATGTACAGCCTAGTAGTATAATCCACTTTTTAATAAATTAATTTACGTCTAGGTCAAAATTGTATTGAATAATTTGAAAAGTATTAAAACATAATGTAATATTGGATGAAAATTTTAGTTTAAAAATAAATATATAATTTAATATTTTTCAACATTATAAAAAATTTCGCACATTTGTACAAACATTTTTTAACTCCCCAAAATCATCTAAGGGAAGTTCAAATTTCTTAGAGATGATATCAGTCTTTTTATGTTCTGGTGTAACTAAGTAATCATCAGCCAACAGTCGTTTATGATGAGGTAATGATGTAATTTCATCTGGAATAATTTTTCTTTGAGATTGAGGTGATGTGTACTTATGTCCATAAGCAAAATGATCTAAAATATATAAATATACAATAAAAATGTATAAATACGCAAAAATAAAACTTTTTCAAACCATTTTGTCTAAAGACTGGTAAAGAAGATGGACGTTTGGATAAACTTTCATTGATTACATTAGAAGATACACTCCGCATTGACACTGATGATGTTATGTAAGGATTGTGTCTTTTTTCAGACACCTCAACACTATCAGGTGTTGATAATGGAGTTGGTAAATCAGGTGTATGGTAATCGCCAGAACTCTCAAACTGAGGTAACTGAAATGAATCACAAGGAGTTGAATCCACGGATGACGTTTCAGCTTCTGAATAACTGCTTTGCATTAATCCTTGAGAAAGGTCTAGTTAATACAAATATAATAGAAATGTAAAGATATAATTTGAGACACAGTTTAAAGTATATACGGAAATTATACCAATGCTATGTTTTTTTTCCTCTAATTTTGCAGATGTTGATTGATTTCTATTTACTGAAAATTAAAGTATGTAGGTATTCAGTGATATTTTTTAATTATGAATTCAACTATCTTACCTTCAGGAATAAATATATTATTGGGATCACCTGTAAAAATATGTTAACATAATTATTGAAGTAATTAATAAGTACAAAATAAATATCAATATTACCATCTTCGGATAAGGGTGAAAATGGAGGTGGACTCCTATTTACTGAAAATTATACAAAACATTAGTAAAAAAAAAAGTTATAATGTTATTACAAACTACATACTAAAATATAAGTGCTTTTATATGAGATTAAAAATATTCAGTATTTAAAACAATTTTTTTTTAAATTTGAAGTTTATAATACTCGTTCATTGAATTCAAATTAAATTAATTTTCATAGAAGTTTTTTTATGAACATTTTCACATTTTGTTGGTTTATTAAATTTAAGTATTTACTTGGAAAAATATTAGATTTTAAAAAGACATTTAACAAGAAATACATGACAACATATAAGTACAATAAAACTGAAATCTCCGCGACTCAAATTTACTATTGTATTTTAAATCTATAAAAAATACAAAAAAGTTTACCAAACACATTATATTATTTAAATTCATTTATTACCATGATAAAGAAAAGGAATTCATTTTTACTAAATACTGAATATATATTTATTTGCAACTATTTAGTTAAAATTTAATAGAACCAATTTGTAAGTGTTTTTCCAAATACAGATTCAGTTAAAAATGTATTAATGTATAATGTAGTATATTACAACTCTATTACATAATATGAAAAATGTCTTAATAAATTATGCACACAAACACATATAAATGCTTAAATGTATGTCAGCATTTACATTTGTAAATGATTACTAACATTAAAATAAATAGACATACTCACATATTCTACTTGGTTTAAACGCTAAATAATAATTTACAACATTATTAATTCTTTGTTTGTACAAAAATTTCCATTAGATAAAATAAATATACTTACAAGTTCTATTCGGCTTAAACACTGAATGATAATCATGAACATTATTAATTACAGTTTGATTTTCGTCATCAATATCAGTTTCACTTTCATCAATTAATTTCATATTAGTTCTGAAAATAATATAAGTAATTATCAAACTAAAAATAATTATTTTATTTAAAATAAACATCGAAAGCTAACTGGTAAACTAGCTAAAATCAAAAAATAATTTTTAGGAAGTTTTTAAATTTGTAATTATTTTACAATTTTACTAATATAACTGCGCATATTTCTTCTAAGTTGAATTTAACTATTTTTAAGTAATGACAACTTATAAAAATGCACCATTAGCTTAGATACTAGATTTACTAATTAAGTGCAGTTTCATATAAAATATCTTTAAAAATCATAATATACCATTGTAAATATCTCAAAATCTCTAGTTCCAATGGGACAAAACTCTACTTATAATGTAACTATTTTTGAAGTTATACTTCTTTACGCAGGGTAGTGAGGAAAAAAAAAGCGAACGGGAGGTGCGTACGAACGGGCGGCCGTACGAACGCGAAAGCGTACATGTCCGTAAATAAATAGATATTGTCATGGTAATGTTGTTTTATTATATATTATATATTATAATCGGGCCATACTAATTAATATGAATAATTAATGATCGATTATTATTTATTTTTATTATTATTATTATTATTCACTCACAAATCTATTGTCTGGATAAAATCAATACTACAAACAATTATCCATCGATCTGTCGAATAAAAATATAAAAAAATAATAAAACTATTAATAATAAATAATTCCGGATACTTCTTCTCATTTTTTAAATTAATTAATATTTTTTTCTTTCTTTTTCACTCACTCAAGTGTACCATTCAAAAGAAGTTTAACTTCCCGCGCGCGTACTGGTAATTTAATACAATAATTAGCTGTTTGAAGAATAATAATTTGGCACTTATGAATACTATTTAATACTACAATTCTATTTCTTTGGATATGCTCTGATTGGGACAATTGAATTACTGATCACTAGGGGCCGGAATTATATTCTTTTGCATATTTTTTTTGAGTCTATGCAGTCTTTACACATCATGAAGCAGGTGAATTAATGGCAAGAGTTTATTTTGCATATTTGGGAATATTTCGCATAATAAAGAATATTATATCGATTAATTTTTGTAGATGGTTGATATTTTTTGTTGCAGTGGCGTAAATAATATAAATTAACACATATAAAAACATTTTAACCGGCCGTCATACAAATATGACACCAGAGCACACGGAACAAATTAGTTGTCAACTGTTTTCAAAAATGTTCTTAGTTAAAAATTTAAAATAATTGAATATTAATATTATTATTAATAATTTAATCAAACTTTTTTTAACATGTGGTATTTTTATTATGTACCAGTTAATGGTTTTTGTATTATTTGCTTAATTATTTTGCATATTGTGTATCTATTTATATCAGTTTTTTTGTATTATGTGTTTAATTATTTCACATATAAATGCATATTTTTAGTTCAAGAGAATATTTTAATAAAAAAGCATATTTTATCATGTTTTTTAAAGAATATTGGAAGAATATTTTCAACTTTTTAAGAGAATATTAGCATCTTATTTTGGCTATTTTAAAAGAATATAATTCTGGCCCTTACTGATCATATAGTTGAAATTCAAGATTTAAAAATTAAAAAATGATTGGAGCATAAAACAACTTGGGATCCAACATTTCTAGCATCTAATCAAACATTGGTTCAGCATTGCCTAATAGAGTAAACTTTAAAAGTATTTCTAAAAATATTATTATTTTTGTTTAATAACACTAACATTAAAACAAAGACCTTAAAAATTAACTAACAAAGCCAATTTTTAATTAAAAATAAAACTTTGTTTATGTTCAAAATTAAAAAGCATAAAAAAGCTGATTATTGGATTAAAAACCTTCGAAATTCAAAATGCATGCCTAAACCAAATAACATTTCTAAAAAGTTTATCTTTTAAAATATCCAAAAACTATACAAAACTAATTAATTTATACATACTTAGGTTTAATCATTTCTCGTGATTTTTGTTTATTAAAACTTTTTCGAACACTAGTATCTCTTGTAAACATTGTATTAGTCTTTGATGACTTATCAGGTGGTGAAAATTGATTTTTAAAAGGATATTCTTCAGGTAAATTAATTAACCATGTTGAAACGTCCGTTGATAAATGTGAAGCACCAACCTTAAAATATTACAAGTTTTTATAAAAACTTAATAGAATAACAAAATATAAATATAAAAAAATTTACCATCTAATAAAATAAAAATTTTAAGAACTATTATGTTCAGTAGAACCTGGATTATTCGAACCTCAATTATACAAACCTTTTATTATCCTAACAAATATCAAATGCAATTAACATATCTGAACGTCAATAAGCGCTGTAGCACTTGTGCAAGTTATCATGTATGTATGTATAAATTAATGTATATAATAATCCAATATTAATAATTACAATAAATTACAAATATCAATAGGTATAACATATAAAATTATGTATGTTTTTTTTTTATATATGTAATATGCATGTACATATTAGATATTATATACTAACCTAACTTGTAGTATTAAAAAATTCCTAGTATTAAATTTTCACGTTTCCGAACTAGGTGCGGACCTAATTAGTTCGGACAATCTAGATTCTACTGTATTTATTACAATAATTATTCACACTTAAAATATTTAATAACTTACAATTCGATTATCTTTTACTACTAACTCGTTCATATTTCCCCATTTTACAACCACCGAATCACACACTCTGGTTGGTTCTACACCATACACACCAAGGTAATCATCACCACCTCCATATAGAACATCTCCTTTATCATTAAATTGCAAACATCTAAAGAAAACAATTTTAATTATTATAAATATTTAAAAAAACATGCTAAAGTAAATTAATATGAATTATGTTATTACCTAATTATTGATTTTTCTGTATCTATTTGAGAAATAATACTAAATCGCTCCAAGTCTAATATATTAATTTTTTTGTCTGTACCACTACTAGCTAGTAAAAACACTAATGGATGAAATTGAATTGATGTTACTGTCCCATTATGTAGTTTATCAAAAACATGTATCATGCGTCCAACTCTCAAATCCCATATCTATAAAAATAAATGTCAAAAATAAAATAGTTTTACTATTAATACACAAATAATTATACTACTAAAATATAAATTTTATTATAGGACAATATAATAAATACGATAAATTAAACTGAGTTTAAAGCTATTTAATAATATTTAGGTATCACAATCTGATAATATTATAATTATTACATGTATTACTATTTATTTACTTATTACTAATAACAATATATATTGAACACTTAACCATTTGCAGCATGAATCTTTACTTAATTTTATGAAATGCAATAAATACCATACTATTATTATATTAATAATATATAATAACTAACCTTAACACATCCATCTTCATCGCCAGAGGCAATCCATAAACCATCTGGACTATATTTCAAACTAGATATAGATGCTTCGTGACCTTTGTACATCCCTATGCAGTGTGAATATCGATAATCCCATAACTAAAAAAATTAACGTCTTTATACATTATACTATTTAACATATTTAACATAAATACTATGATTATTAATATTATACCTTAACATTGGTATCTTTTGAACCCGTTACAAAATATGAAGATGAAGCAAAAGGAAAAAAATCTAATTTTGTAACAGCCGACTTATGTCCACTAAATGTCTTCACCTTTTTTCCTTTAGTTAAGTCCCATACTTTTAAGCCACCAGTTTGACTACCGGCACCCACTAGATATTCAGATGGATCAAATTGTACACATTCAATTGGAGTTACATGACCACATAAGCTCTAAACAAATTAATAAAATTGTTTAAATAGTTAATTTTTATACATGAACATATTATATAATTATAATACATAGAATTTTAAGTATTACCATAAAACATGTTTCACTATCAACTTTCCACAAGTTCACTTTGTTATCTGCACCACCTGTAGCTAATACTAAGCCACTCTTTTGACCAAGAGCCAAACAGGTAACATTTGCATTATGTGCAGAAAATTCTTCTACATAAATACAAAAGTTAATACAGCGATTATTTATTTATTTATGGATTATTTTATTATGGAATAATGTTTAAACCCATATATGTATATATTATAATACAAACAGAAATACAGAATACAAAAATGGGTGTTGGGCACTCATATCGATAATAACTCGTTTAGTAATTAATCAGTATTGATTTACCGTTTAAATTTAAATAAATTATTTAGAAAAAAATTCTGAATGCAATCCGTTAACAATAGTGTTTACTGGATATTTTTCAAAATTTTATAATGTAACAAAAAAATACAAAATTGAAAAAAACTGAGAACTAATTATCAACATCCAATACAATATTCTATCTGTGTTATATGTATATAATTATATCATGAACCAGGCATTGTAAGATCTTTAAAAAAAATTCAACTAGCAAGAACAATATATTCTAATTTTTTTCAAAATAAAAATGGTTCCATATACAAGATACTTATTTATTACCTGGTACATAACAAGACAGTCTCTGTATGTTCTTTTTCTATAGTTATTTATACAGTTATACTTACGTAATTTGCAAATATGTTTGTTTGGATTTGCCATTTTAAAGGCATATGCTCTGTAAAATTCAAAATTAAATTAATTTGTTTTTTTTTATTTAAATTATACAACTATTATATAGTTTACTGTAAAAATATAAAATTTACAATAATTGAACTACAATTTTAACATTTATAAATAAATACATAGGTAATATAATTCCTGAAATATACAATTTTTGATTTTATTTTATTATATTTTCATATACTAATATGCCCAGTCCGGGGCATGGCAGAAACCTACGGGTTATAATAGAAATTCTGCCAAACACTCGTGTGTTCCTAATGCATACGAGACACGTAAAAAAAAAATATACTAATAAATGTTTTTTATTTAATATAACAATGTGTTAATTAAAATAAATAATTTTGAATTTAAATTATCGGGTATTAAATCATACATTTATATTAATAATTATTTTACTGCAAAGGGTAAATTTGATTAATTTCAAAAAGGTACTTTTTATTAATGACACTGAAATTAGTCAATTTACAAGTCAAATTTATTTTATATATGAAGCATTTTAACAATTTGACCAGAATTGTAAGCTTCATAACATCATAGATTATAATATTAATAACACAACAATTAATTTAGATTGAATATTATATTCTGTGATTATCAGTGCTGCAACTACAGGTGGTGCATTGCACCCCCTGCAGAAGTGTGAAAATACTTAAAATTATTATATAGACAATTAGAAACTAATATAATACCTATGTATCTGTTTCAGGAATAAAATATATAGGTATTTATTATGTTGTGTTTTAAAAATCAGTTGTTACCAATTAAAGCAGAACCGGTGATAGTTTATTATTAGTAGTGAAGTTGTTACATCTTGTATTATATTTTTAAGTTTACCAGTGACTGTTGTACGGCCGACCGATCATTCTCTAAACTTAAACTGATTGAAAACTATTTAAGAAACTCAATATTTCAAAACATTTTTTTAAACATAAATAGGTATGTAATTATTTTTATAATTTTAAACGTGTCAACAATTTTGTATCTACCTAATGTTAATATGAATTTTTTCAGTTTAAAGGAAAATTAAATGGTGGTAGGCACTTCACATCTACACACAAAAATGCATTTTTCATGAAAATATTTTGTAAAATCTGAAAAGTCATAAAGGGGGAGCATAAAGGAGGCATAAATCTGGGGGCTCTATTATTTTGTTTTGCACCCCGGACCTAAAAACCTTACTGGTGATTATACTATTGATTATGTATACTAGTATTTGTATTTTGTAATGATACTTCATACAATGATTATACTAAAATTGTATTTTTTTATTTTTAAATTATATTATCAATTTGGTTTTTTTATTTTGGTTTTTTTTCCATAACCGGTTACCCATTATCCCCATTACCTGTCTGTTATTATTTATTACTTATTATATTTATAAATAATATTTGATGCTTCAGATTACTATCAATATTATTTTTTTTATAAAATTAATTTTTACAAAATGGAATATATTTAAATTTGTGGCTTTAGGAAAAAAATAACATAACATGATAATAATATTTTTAATTTTAATTTTAATAGACAATAGCACCTGTTGTACATTGTTAAACATATTTTATTTTACAATAGTGTAATTACTATTACCATTACTGTATTGTATTAAAACACTTGATACCAAATACCAATAATAATAAATAATTACATTAAAACAAGTTCAACAAACATTGAAACATCAATAACTAACAATTATAAATAATTAACATCATAAATAAATAATTGTTTACGTTGACTCATTTTATATTGTGGTGAAAATTCCTCTATACTTAATATTTTTAAGTAAATAAAACAATATTCAAAAATGTACGTCCAATTACTTATAAGTTATAAATATACATGAGATACTGGTGACTTTAGCATTTTGTTCTTTTAACCCTAAATAATGTTAAACAAGTTACAGATTTGTTTCATGCTTCATTCATTCAGAATATATAAATTTTATTTTGAATTTTTTTAGTTTTAGCTATGGATAATTTTTTTAGTTTCTTTTAGATTCTGAATGGAACAATTATTGTATTGATATTACAATTATGTGTGTGTTTTTTTTTCTGTTATCACATTTTATGGCAGTGAAAAAACTTAACTTAAACTTACTTTAGCATCTTTTATTGTAGGAAAGTAAATTTGGCGGGGGAGGGGTCAAAAGTAGAAACATCTAGTACTTTTCAAAAGCGTAAGAAATCGATTAGGTTTTTTAGTGTAACTATACAAATACAAAAAATAACCATACATCAAATTTTTACAGTATTTTCTATACACCAAAAAATGATTAATTTTTTTGAACTACACAGAATTATTCTAAAACTTTTTGGATAATTTTTTGTAGTCTAAGTTATCTAAGTATTTTTAAAGATAATTTTTGTTACTTTTTAGGACATCAACATCATATCTTATAACACTTATAACACAACATGTAGGTAAATAAAAAAAAGGTAGGCAAATGGGTGTTAATTTGCTGTACAGTAGATTACAAGTGCGTGACAATAATGGATAGTGCTAAATTTGAATTCAATGATATTATATCATTGTATACGGAAATGATTCTGAGTGAAGATGGTCAGTCAGCCTATGTGTAATTTTACTAAGTATATTAGATGATATTACTGTGAGTAAAGTAATTTTTTAACCTATTTATGTGGAACCTTGTATTAAATTTTCAATCCTAAGCTATAAAAGTTGAACATCCTATTAATTTTGTAACTATAAAATAATTTTTAAATGTTGTCAAAATTTGAACTTTAAATGTTTATAAAAAAAAAACTGTAATTACCTATGTATTATCAATATTTTTCAACTGTTATAGAAGCAATATATCAGGAATCTTTTATTACATTTTCAAGCTTTTTAACCCAACAAAACAAAAATAAAATTGTATAGACAAATTATAGAAAAAAGACCTAACAAAATAAATTTAAAATTAAAATTGTTCGTAAACCGCTCAAAACGAGTCAAAATATTTTGAAAATGTTATCAAGTATGGGAATTGATAAAATAAACTTTAAATTTCAAGTATCTATGGATATTCGTTTTTTGAATTACAACAAAATAAGAAAATCGAGTGAATATCCAATGTTGTAAAAATTTGAAATTCAAACACATAAAATTTAATTTGACTTTCCAGTACACATATTTTTAATGATAAAGATATACAAATTTATGAAGAATAATGTATTACATTTTCAAATCTTAGATTTAAAAAGAAAAATTTTTATGAATTTCTTACTCAAAATATTTTGCACTATTTCTTGATTTTTACTTATTTTAAACTTTAAATGCTTATAAAAAAAAATTGTTACTCTATTTTTAATATTTTTCAACTACTATTTTAAAAATATATTAAGAGCCTTGTATTAAATTGTATAGGTTTTGGACCCAACAAATAAAATTATTTTATTGACATTTAAAAAATTATAATAAAAAATTGGAAACTAAAAATTTTTATAAACAGCTCAAAACAAGTCAAATTTCTAATAAAAAACATTCGGTGAACATTTTATACCAAAAACCAAAATTGATTTTGTCATAAACCAATTTAAACATTAAAGTTGTCATTTTTCCTTTATTTGATTTTTGTTTTCCCGGAGCTTTTGAAAACTACTGGGAGTTTTTTACTTTTGACTTCCTAAAGTACCAACTAGATTAACTTTCCTATCAGAAAAGATGCTGTTGAAGAAAATCAAAGCCGTTTTACTGCAATAAAAGGTGATGACAGGCACAAATACAATTAAAAATTTAAAAATTAATAAAAAATTAAAAAAAAAACACACATTATTGTAAAACCAATACATACATCACAACATTCAATATCTAATATTAAAAAGATTACACAGAAAATATAAATTTATAATTATCATACATTCAAAGTAAATTATTAATAAGTATTTAATCAAAGCACCTTACCATTTGTCAATTACAATATAAAAAAAATGTACATAATAACTGAGAAATGTTATCAGTTTTAATCTGTGTTTGTTTTATTAATAAAAGCATATCTTATGTATTAGGTATATTATGAATGCAACAATAAATCATTTAAAATAATTTATTATTTTATGATATTAATGATCTTTTAATGTATACCTACTATACAATGTATCCTACTACCAATTTCACTGATTATTTGTATCAACACACTTCCTATTAGGTATATTAATATAAATGTATGTTTAAATAATATGTAAAGTACATCTTTAGTTATCTAATTGCATTAAATAAAAATGACAACAATTCTAAATTGGATTCATTGGTACCTAATTAAAACTTTATGCTAAGAATACTATGTTATACAATTTACTAAAAAATGTGCATTTTCCTACAAATCCACAGCTGTAAATAGGTATAGACATAAATAATATAACATGTAAGGTTCAATGAAAAATGTGATAGTAGAAAAATAAGTCTCTAGCAAGAAATATCTGGAAATTTAGACTTCAATGAAATTTTAATATTTAATAGATAATAAAAAAAGTTCTTAAGTTCTGTTATCTCATGATAGCTAATGTTATCAACTAATTACATATTATTAAAATTTTTAAGTTAAATACAAAAATAATTAGGTAATACAGGTACACCTAATAGTAACTAAAAATATTAAAAAATACTATTTAATATTTATATAAATATCTATCTTTGTAACTTTATATTTTTTGTACAGGTTTCAAAAATTCTTCAAGTTAAATTGTTGTCTCTACAAAATGTGTGCGTACAAGATGAAATATTTCTATAGTTTATACTTTTCTCAGCATTTTTATATCTTGCCAACAAAAACACTTAGTCTAATCAAAGTAATTTTAAACAGTCTGCAGCAAGTTCATAATTAATCTAATATTAGTTTCCAATTAGGTACTTATGGATTTTATATAAAGTGATGATTTATATATTATATATTATCAGTATTTAAGTTCTTATTTTAAACATTTTTGAATTTAAACTTGTATGGAGATTTTTATCCAAGAGACTAATTTCCAGTTCCAAAA